GGCTGACAACGCAGCGCAGTTTAAGTATTAATAAGAATGAAATTTTCAGAATGCCAGCAATGTGGCTGGCAAATACTCTAACTGTGAAATTGAGGGAAAATATAAACATAAACTTATGCACAATTCCATAAACATAAAGATTAAATACTTTCATATATAAATGTATAAATAATAATTTATGTTTATTTTCGACATGCATAAAAGTTCTTTTATAGAGTATTTCCGAGCCTTTGCCAGCTGTTAGCCTTTTGGTAGAGCACATGGGAAGTTTGGTAATATAAATCTAGACTGCAAATCGAAACAAAAGCCCAAAATAAATGTTAGGGAAAAAAGAGGCTTTATTATGGCGATGGCTGCCAGCCAATAGTTGTTTGCCGGCCAGTAATTTTCGAGAAGGGGCGTAAAATAGTTTACATAAAAAGTTGTAGAACAATAACGTTAACAACTGGAACAGAACGCGAGAGCTGGCAAATATTTGCGCAAATATTTGAAGTGCATTGAACAATGCCTCGGCTCGTTCATTTGTTCGTGCGCAGCCAGTGCAGACTGTACCAGCAAAAAGTTGTTGTAGTATGTGCTCGAAGCTGTACTTGAACTGCGGCTAGAAAGTAGCTGAATGCCAATGAATCATTGCGGCAAGGTCGAAATTTGTCCCATTTGACTGGCTTTTCAATTAGAGCGCGGCACAGGTAATTACAGGTGCAGGTACACAAATGTCACTGCGCGACACTAGCGATTAATTCAAAATAACTGCCAGCCCCTCCCCCTCAGCTTTGCAGCCCACAAATTCTATGCCGTTTGTCAGTCAGCTTCCTTGGCATGTCGGCCACGTGCGGAAATTAAAATTCTGGCTGCGTCAAAGAGCAAACAGCAGCAGCCAGAAACCAGACGCCAAATAAAAGAAAAAGCAGCTTGTGTCGCTTGCTTGCAAGTAAAAAGCACAGCTAGTTGGGGTTTTTTTTCCTTGTGCGTCCCTTGCAATTGTCTAGACTTGAGTCAAAGGCCTGCGCCGAATTGTATGCTACGCTTTGCTAGACGCGCACAAAGTGCGGCCCAGCCCTCAACGCAATCAATGTTGCGGTAGCCCCCGAGGCAGATCATAGTTACAGCCATGGACACATAACTAGTTGCTCGTGGCCGTATCCATGACTCCGTGTGACTTCAATTAACTTGTTTTGATTGCGCTCGTGAGTGCCGGGCACTCGCCTAATTGAAGACCACGAAAAGTTCGTGTATTTGCCCAAACCCCGAGTCGAGACTGCAAAGGGTCAAGAAACTTGGCCAACAGGAAACTTTGCCAAAAGGGTATTGACTTAGCAAATCAGCGAACCAGCAGAAAAAAACGTTCAAAGTGCTTCGATAATGTCCTGGCTTTAACTATTGAATACGGCTTGAAAGTCCAGTTTGGGACAAAAGAAAAATTTAAGAATACAAATAAAAAACATGCTAGCTTTCATTTTCAATTTAATTAAACTAAATTTATTTCTATCTTAATCAGCTATGCGTATGTTAAGGCCTTTAAAATGGTGTTGGAAAATGCATTTAATAATTGACAGTGCTGTAAATTGTTATCGATATTATAGGCTCGAGGCATATTTAGATCTTCACTATGTCCTCACTCACTGGAATTGTTAGCTTTCATTTTCATTTCCAATAAGCTTCACTCATTTCGAGCTCAACTATTTAATTTGTTTACAATAGTGCTCGCAAATGCTCTTAGGGATCGTCAGTGTTGTAAATAGTTGTTTGTTACGATTATTAATAATGTTATCGACTGTTCCCAGGCTCGTAGTGATTTCTTTCACAAGAATTATTGAAGTTCACCAAGTTTTTTCTTGAACTATTAGCTTTAAATTAAACTAAATTTATTTGCAACTTAAAAATACAGTGTTGAAAAACTCATTAAGCAGTTGGCAATGCTGTCAATAGTTTTGTTTGTACAATTACTATCGATATTATCATCTCTGTTCTTGCATGCTCGAAGCTCATTTGGTGCCTCAGCACTTTCTCCTACACACAAGAATTGTGCAACTAGAAGCTATGAATGCATCTGGAGTTGTTGTATTTAGAGGAAGGGGCTACGTGCAACTCGGAATGGCATCTGCTTATTGGCCCACTTAGGCAGGACTCACATGAATCGCAAAGGAGCCCGCTGGCAATTTATTCAAGTCTGGTAAATGTTTATCAACATTTCACACTTGCGTCGAGATATGCAGGGGCCAAAATCATTTCTCAGCCAGAGAGGCGCTCTCTTCCTCTTTCCCCCTTGCCCTCTCTGCGCGACTCTCTGGCTTTCTCGCTTGCCTGCTTGTGGGTGAAACAAAAGAGCTTTTAACATGGCTGCGTGTGTGCGCGCAACCTTTGGCCGATTAAACATAAATCCCTATAAAGCAACAAAGTAAAAAATTGCCAACGAGCCAAGTAAAAACTTTGGCAAAGTGCTCAGCGTCTTCTTCGCAGCCCCCCCCGCCTCGCTGCTGCAAAATCTTATCCTCATCCTTGTCGTCGTTGACAACGACGTGCGAGGCCTTTGAAGTTGCCCCAATTCAGCGTCGCGGCTTGTCGCGAAGCTGCTCGGTAATTTATATGCCGTGCACAAGATCATTTCTGTTGGGGCATTAAAAACTTAAATAGTTTTAATTCGCCAGCAAAAATATGCACGCGCCGAGACGTGCACTATGCGCTAGTTAGCACCACGGTGCGTATACTTAATGCGCCCGCTAAATTCCTGTGATTAGCAGGGAGAGAGAGAGAGTGTCCCCCACCCCCCTCCCCCTGACACAGCTACGATTACTGCTTGCCGCATATTTGACATTTATAATATGCAATGCTTGGCTTGTTTTGCGCTGCCTTTGTCCAGAAATTTAAATAAGGATAACAGCAGGAGCTGCGGCTGCGAATTGATTTGAATGGCCGCAGGGGCGGCTGCCAAGAATAACAATAAACATTGCTAGCTGCTTCATTGGTTATTTGTTTTACTTGTTGTTGCTGTTGTTGTTGCTGTTGCTGTTATTTGTGGCCAACAAGCAAAACAGCAGCAGCGAAATCGAAGAACTGCGAGCAAAACCAAATTTTAAAAAGGCAACCGCCAGGGGAAGGCGCAGACAGAGGCTGCTTATAAAGCAATATATATTTGCGAGCAGTTGGTTAAGTGGGTGGGGCACCAGGCAGGCCGCCCACTCGGCAAACAGTCAAGCAATCCAATCGAATCGCAGCGAATCAATATTTTTGGCCTACAGTGTTTGTTGATTTCTTCTAGTCGACGACGGCCGTGTCCCCGGCTGGTCCTGGCGCCACGCGCTGCAGCCCCAGCTTTGAGCTGTGCATTTTGTGGTGAAGTCGGCGGCGGCAGTCAGCTGTGTGTTGAGTTTCCATATTCGAACAGAGCGCCGACTCGCTGCCTGAGAGAATAAGACAGTTAGCACAGTTTCATGCTTTTATACAAGCACGCAAATGCTGCACTTATATTGGGTGCCTGGCACAAGCTATACTGGGAACAGTGGCTCTTATAATTTCAGCTAACTGTTAAAATCGCGCGCACATGTGTGTGTGTGTGTGAGTGTGAGGAAGCGGAAACAAAATATGTAAACAAAATGGCATTGATAGTGCTTATCAAGACAGCAGCTGTATAAAAATACACACCCGCTGAGTGGAAAGTGAGAAGCTAGTGATAACTGGGTGTTAGCTGCTCGTATAAGACGAAGACGAGCGACACTTGAGTAATGGAACCACATTTCAGAGAGTTAAACATAATGAACGGTAATTTATATCATTTATAGACTGCGCAGCCAAAGATTTAACAATTTTGAATTTAATGTACCGTTAATTAAAATTAATATGATTTTAAAGTCGAAATAGATACATGTTAAATAAAGGAAGTATATGTGGATTCTTTTGCTAAATGTGATTTTTCATTTATAAATATGTGACTAATATGTAACTAATATATAAATAAAATATTAGTGAAAAATGTAACATAAATGTAAGATTAATATACTAAAGGAAACTGAAGAATAGTAATAAAATAATAATAGTAATAGTAATAATTGATATACTAAGAATAATAAAAATAATAATAATAATAGTATTAATAATGATTTAATAAAAATGTAATAATAATCAATAATAATAATAAATATAAACTCTGTTTTTATTGCATTATCTATTTAAAATTTTATATATCCTTTTGGCAATATATTATGAAAATGTTATATATGTTATATTATTAAATTTAGAAAAAAGCTCTACAGAGCTGCATACTATTTTTTATTTTAACTATTTTATTTGTGGTTATAAATTTTATATTATCAAATTAAATTAAAGTTAATACAAGAAATTAATGTGTAATTATTTGTTAATTATTTCTTGTACATTTTGTTGTTGTCTATTTTAATTCTAATTTCTATTTACTAATTTCTGGTCAAAATATTTCATAATAAACATGTGTATTTAGCGACTTTTCCTTTTTTGTCCTCTTTTATCAATTTATTTCATTATTCTTCACTTTATTGTTTTTGCTACGTAAGTCTTTAGCTTTATTCATAAAATAATTTCGGCCAATTCCAATCATTTCTGCTATTACGAAAAAGTATGTTTTATGGCAAATATTGTGCCCACAAGGCCTGGTATATCAAATAAATGAATGTTATTTGTGGCACATTTAGCCAGCGATTACTTTTAGCTGCGGCGCTTTCTTTATTTAGTTGCTTAATTTTAATTTGATAACCCGCATTTATTATGCATTTTTACGGGCGACATATAAATCACATACCGCAAAAGCACTAAAAATAAAAATCAAAATAAAAATAAAAAAAAAACAGAACCAAACCGAGAATGAAACGAAACGAAAACGAAAATGAAAATTCTTTGGCCCATGGACCGGACGCACCGAAGCTCGCTCTTGCTGAGCGGCTCTCTTGGACGCTCTCTGGCGATGCAGCTGCCAACTGTGCGCACGTATAACAGTTTCCGAGACACGAACGCGAAGAATACAACGACGACAACGACGATGCCGACGACGACAATGACGACGCTGACGTTGGCGCTGGGCTCTGCCCGGCAGGCGAGTGCCTGCTGAAAGTCGTCGGAGCGTTGCGGCCAAGCAGTCTCAAAGCGTACGCCGTTAACAACAGACACAGCGGACATATTCATTCACGCAGACGGACGGGGTGTGTTGGCGTCGTGCGTGGCGCAGTTCTTGAAAGTTATCAAATTCCCGTTGCGTTTACCGTTACAGTGCAAATGTAAAACAAAGCAACCAATAAAAAAAGCGGCCACTAGGTCAAACCACAACAGAAAAGTAGAAAAAAGAAAGTCAAATAAATTAAACTAAACAAAGTGCAGTGGAGTGCCAACGCCAGCAGGCCAGGATTTGCCTTTGAAAGTGCTGAAAAAGTCGCGTTCTAACGATAAACGGTAGACGGTACGCGATTTGCCGGCCAACAGCGAGCACGTCGTAAATTTGCGACAAACTTGCTTCGTTAATGCATTTAGCACGTGAATTCCAAGCCCGCAAATTGAGCTAACCACGCTGCGACAACAACAACAACAACAACAGCAACGACAAGATGGAACATGTGTAAATGCTAACGAGCGTGTAAGTGCAGCCAGTGTTGGTGAGGGGCAGCAGCAAACGTTGACAAGTGTAACGCAATTTGATTGATTTTGATTGACATGGCACTCAGCAGCTGTGGCCACCCAGAAGCAGTCAAGTGAAATACAAGTGGAAAACAGCAAAACGAAAAGAAAACTAAAAAAAAAGATATACCATATATCTGAGCAGAGTTTTTTAGGTTTACGAAAAGATCTGCAGCAGTAAAAACTGAAATACTTTCAATTAAAATCAAACACAGTCAAACACATCGACGAAGAGAATTCCTGAGTGCGAAAAACAAAAACCAATAAAATCCAAGCTCATATAAAAAGGAAGATTGCAATAATAAAAGATATATACTATATACATATATATAAAAAGTTGGGCGCCGGCTAATCAACTGCTGCGCACAACAAAAGCGTCCAGCGAAGCAACTTTTTCTTCTGAGTTTTTCCGTTTTCCCTTTTTTGCGGCGGCTGTCGCTCACTTTTTTTTTGTCCATTGCCTGCCATCATTTTCCGCATGTGCTGTGCAGTGTGTGGGTGTGTGTGAGTGTGTGTGTGTGTGGGTGACTGTGTGGGTGCTGCCACATAAAAAGGATATAATATTGCCGCATTGATTTTCTCCCATCGCAAATGTGACATCAACAAAGCGGTTCAACAGCAGCAGCAGCAACAACAACAACAACAACTTTAACAACAACTTTAACGACAACTCTAACAACCACATCGTCTAAAAGTTCAGAGCGCATCGAAAGTTTTGGACACTCATTTTGCTGGTCTCCGGGTATGTTATTTCTAATTTCTACCCAGCATTAATACTAATCGTCCTTCCGTCCGTCCGTCTGTCTGTCCGTCTGTGTGCATAAAACTGAACAATATTGCTTTCACAATTTCGAGAGTTTTGAACTTTTTATGCGCAACCTCTGGGATAATGTTTCAAGTTTGCCCGCCCAACCACAATATATGCATCTGCCCATCCATATCTATATCTATATTTGGTATCTGGCATCTGAATATTGATTTGTATTTGCATTTCTGTTTGTATTTGTATTTGTGCGGCATTTGGTTTGTCTAATTGTGTCGAATGCTCGCAAATGGAAATTAATATTTATTTTTGGGCTTATTGAATACATATTTGTAGTTTATTCAACTTTAACCTGCTGCTGGAAGTTGCCTACAAGAAAACTAATTGAATAATCATAATAAATAATTGAATAATCATAAAAATACAACTAATTTTAAAATCCGTGCAGTACTCCGATATAGCTTATGATCATTTTTTTGACATATACTCTTGTAAATTATTTTCAAATTGATTAATTTTCCACTCCTTTTTTGTTGCTGATTTTTTTTTACCTCTATATTTTTTACCCTTTATAAAAAATTATAATATGGTATATTTAATTGGCAAGTTTTTTTTTTTAAATTTGCTTGTCATATACCCAATCAAAGAAAGGGTAACCAGTCAGAAAATGTTTTTTATGAATGTTTATTGTGGAACTGAGTACGGGGTATCCCCTAATCTATCACTTTCAACCAGAGCATCCTCACTTGTATTATTGCTTCCCACAACTAGGCTTTTATTCCATACAAAACATTTTCCAAGTATTCTCCAAGCATTAACATTGCAGAAATTTGAATAAGCTGTTGCAAGTAGATTTTCCTCATGTTTGCAATTCCCAATTATATTTTTTTTTAAAGCCACATAAAACTAATAAATTACTAATTTAAGCTCAACGCGCTGCAATTAACAGCTTTTATTTTATTTGCAATTAAATTTTATTTTAGCACAAGAAAAAGCCACGCAGCTATTTATATTTAATTGGGCGATTAATTAAGTTAAATATAAATTTAGTTTAGCGTTTAGCTCTGATTGATAGTTTAACAAATACGTTTGGGGTTCGGGCACAAACACCTATTTCGACCCCACGTGACCTTCTGACAAATTAAAACTCGCCCTTTGGCCCCACAGCCCAATAAAGGGCAAACAAACCCTTTTCATGGCAATTTTAATTAACAACAAGCCGAACTCACACAAAAAAAAAACACCAAAAATAAAAAATGGAAAAGTAAAACAAAAATAAAGAACTTGCACAGTTTTAAATGTTTTTGTTGCGGCTGTGTAAATTTTAAACTGGAGCGCGCCCAAAAAGTAACCACAACAAAGGCACGGTGGCAGGGAGGGGGAAGGCGGAGGTGATATCTGGAGTGGTAAGCGGCACCTGTAAATATTTGGAAGCCCACAGAAAACGTATACGCACAAGAAGTAGAAAGGCGGCTGGCAGGTTTCTCGGGGCATTGGCTTTTCCGCATCGACTGGGCGTGTAAATGAGAAAATTCATTATTTAACATTAATTAAGGCTTATTATGCACATTATCAACACAGAGCGCGGCCGACACACACACACACACACACACACACACACACACACACACAGATAGTCCATATTAAATGTCAGCGAGAGAGACACAGCGCAAGACATAGTGAAAATGTGTCTGTGCGTGGGTGGACAACTATCCGCCATGAAAACTCACAGCTATGCGAAGGGGGAAAAGCACATGTTCATAATTCAGCGCAGAGAAGGGGGCAACGGTGCAAACAGGAAGTGTACGAGTAATAGCAAGAAGAACAACAACAACATTAAGAAGACTGCGGCACAGAGCTCGTTTAAATTATTCAGTAAATTGTTAAGTAAATAGCATGAGAGGCACACGTTAAAAAGGCAACCAAAACCAACAACAATAACAAAGCCAAAATGGCGTCTCATCCTTGTCTCCTGTCTATGAGCGGTGGGGGGGGGGGGGGGGGGGCTTCACTCCCCACACGTTAGAATTTTAGTGCACATATGAAAAACACACAACGGTGATGATGGGCGGACAGCGTTCACGATGATGATGATGATGTTGACGAGGACAACGATGACGGGGAGCGCGATGATGGCGTTGATAATGACGACACGCCGTTAACGGCTCACCGGAGCTGCTGCTGGCAAATGTACTCATACAATAAAATCAACACGGAATGCGGCTGCGAGACAGACGAACCCGCCTCCCCAAGGAGCGTTGGGGCCCAGGTGAAGAGTGGCAACCGAGCGGATTCGTGCTCAGCCCACAGTTGCCTCAGCGGCCGATGTGTGCGTGGGAAAGCAGCGAAAACTGTGCATATTTCTGCGAAGCTGGCGAAAACTATGCCGGAAACGGAAGCAGCTAGAAAAGCACAGAGTCAAACTTGGCTGGGAAGCCGTCGTTCGGTTAACCAAGTAAACAATAGCAAACATTCTACAATGCTAAGCTTACATCAATAGAAACCAGCTTCATTGATAGAAGAGCACGAGGCAAACAGAACTGATCTGTCGGAGAGTTCTCGGCCTGGGAGATACCCTATAAACGCCAGCCTCGGAGAATGTATCTCTACCTTATGATATATTAAAAGATAGAAGGAAAAAACGTAAACGTTATTCGTTTCAGCTTTTCCATAGTAAAAAGAAAAATTAATTTTATGATACCTCTCATCGATAGTATGCTAAAAAATTAATCGTTTTTCGATACATATTTTCGGCAGTATAAAAAAATATTCATTTTGTTAATCGTTGAAAGTTAATCGTTTTTCAATACATCTTCTCGATAGTATGCACAAAGTTGATACTTTTTTTGATACATCTTTTCGATAGTAAGTCAGAGATCGATATCTACAGGAAGAATATCAAATTATATTTATCTTATGAATATTGCAGGAAATTAAAGAATTATGTGCTACATATTTAAAATCCACATTTAAAATTCTTCTTTGAGCCAGAGATTAAGTTCCCCTGTTCACAGTCATGTAAATGTTAAAACTGACTATTTTATGAATATATGAATAAAAACATTTCAAAAATCTCCTTCTTTACTTAACATTGGACAACTTTGTTGATGAGATTTGCTCCTTTTAATTGATTATAAAAAATTGCAATGATTTGAGTACAACTGCAAAAATAAAATGCTGTAAAGACCTTGGAAAGAGTTTTTACGTGTACAACATATTTTACAACTAAACATAAAATAAAACGAGTCACACATTTTCGGTTTATTTCAGAAATAAAAATGTTTTTACAACAATAAGCCAAACTATATTTTCTCTATTTTTGAATAGTTTTGCAACGTAAAGGCCAGCTTAAGCCCCAAAGGCAACCAAATCACATAAATATAAATAACACGAACGACAAATATGATTTCAAATAATAAATTGGGAAACAAATAATTGGACGAAAACATGTTTGACTGGTCGAAAAACAAAAATAAATAAACTGCCAGAAAAAGATAAAAATAGATATTTAAATCGTATTTGTAGAAATTCATACATTTTGTATGAAAAGAAAACAAGAAAGGAATCGTAACAAGGATTATGACCTTAATTATATTTGGTATAATAATTATCTCATATGCTGTTACTATTATCTAGCAACTTTTAGCAGGGTGAGGATCGGTTTGTTCGTAGTTAAACAATAGTTTTGGTTTAAAGTAGCTTAGCTTAGTCGTGGTAAAGAAAATTTCTCCTCAGGAAAAAAACGTATAATAATATTGCACAACATTATGTTCATGTGTCAATACTTGGTAGCAGCTGGTGGATTAGAACCATGCTTTGGAAACCATCTAAAATTTGAATATGAAAAATCACATATATGTAGGATTTGGAAATGAAAGATGCGGTTGCATTTATAATCTTTGGTAATATTATAATCATTTATCACATGCAACCCTGCTGTGGAGAATCAACCCATAATAAAAATTATAATTAAAATTTATACAATATTGATTTCACAATTTGTTGAAATTAACTTTGTTTATTTTTACTATACAATAACATGATATGATAAAAGTTCCTCTATATGAAGCATATAAACACTGAAACAGTGTGCGTCAAAATAAGTATGCGGACCACTGTACTTATTTAAATACCTCCAAATAAGCACGTCCATTTATTGGAGTGTCTTAACCAGCTTTTTGCCCACAAATGACATGCAGAGTAAACAGCGATCGCCGGGCCACTTTCTGGGCCACACCCTTTATATGCGCATCTAATTTTATGGCCGAGACAGTTTCGCAGTGTTGCACAGTGTCGAGAATGCCATAATTTATGCGGGCGGGCTGTGCGAGTAAAAATGTTTGCATAAACTACATATACTATGCAAAAATATGCTATGGACACCGGCGGCAGCAGCAGCAGCAGGAGGCTGAAGCAGGAGCAGGAGCAGCTAGCAACGCATTCAGATTTGCCAGGCTAGATCTCGAAACGGGGCGTAACTGGCACATGTGTGCGGGCCAGAGGCTGGCAATGTAGCCCCGGGCAGCCAGCAGCCAACTTGCCCGGGCACATTAACCAAAATTGATTTTCGATTTTTTTGCCAGCAGAAGGAAGGCTGCGTATTGGGGTCTTCAGCTGCTGCTTCTACTGCTGCTGCGGCTGTATCTGGCGAGTTGGCGCCGCACGTTTTCTGGGTTAATTTTCTAAAATATCAAGAAACAGGCAGCTGTGGAAGAAGTCGAAGTAGCAGCATTTGAAAATAAAGCAATTTGTTTTGCGCATTTTCGAGTTGATTTGCCTGTTTTGTTGCTGGCCAAAGTTTGATTAGTTTGTTTTGCATGTGTGCGTGCTGTCTCTCTGTGTGTGTGCGGGGTGGATTGCGTCTAATGTTATTAATGTTTTTATACTAGCTTTTCCAAGGGCTTATCGCTGCCAATGGCCGCCCCATCAACGTTTGCCAGTTTTAGCTACAATATTTGGCAAAGTTTTTGGTTTGCTTTCGGAAAACTTTTTGTGAGTGCTATTCGCGTTACACTTGCCCAAAATCCAGCCAAAATGTCTAATGGAGCAGCCATTAATTTTCCACTATTTGGCATTTTTGGCCTTTTGCATGCGCAAAGCGCTGCAGCTGCACTTTGACAGCCGCCAAGGGCAAAGATTGGGTGGGGCGGAGGTCGAGTTTGACGGCTTAATAAGCCAAAAGTGGCTGCAAAGTGCTTTGGCTTAACCTTGGCAGTGGGCTTGGTAATTGGCCAATAAATGCACTGCGAATCGGTCAATAATGTGGCCAAATATTTGGCATTTTCGCTGACTAACTGACATTTAACGCAACTCGAACGTAATGGCATGCAACATTTTAATAATGGGCTTAAATGACGGCTCGCCAGTTAATTGTTGCTCGCATTTTTTATATTCGCTTTTAAATGCATAAAAATTGATATATATGTATATGTTTTTCACAATTAATTTAAGTGTAAATAATTTACAGCTGGCTCATTAAATTTAAACGAAATTGTTGAAGCTTACATAAATACAGTTGACATGAAATTAAATTCCTCCTTGTTTAAAGTGAAATTATAAAAAAATATATAAAAAAGTTAAGCTGGACAACAATTTAATTTTAAAATTGATAGTTTTGTATACTTCTTGGCAAAAATTTTAATTTGAATTTTGTAGTCAACGTTTATTTATTAAATAAAACTCTTATGAAAATTTTAAGTTTAGTTGAAGCAGCAACAGTATGTAAAAATATATCAGACTTAAGAGTGTATCAATACTCACTGAATTTATGCTCATGGAATATTTAAAAAAAAAATAAGAAATTTAGTTTTAATAATGATTTAAATTTCGGTAGAATTTTACTTTATATTTTTCCAAGCACTCTGTCTCTGAAAATCGAAATCGAAAATCGAATCGAATAAAAAGTAGATCAGTTCTTAATGTATTTATGCTCGTGGATAATCTGAAAAAATTTAAAAAAGTAAAACCGTTATTTTATTTTCGATTCAAATTTCTGTAGAATTTTACTTTGCTGCTTATAAGCATGAATCTCATAAATCTTTCTGAAATAAAATTTTTTTTCAAATAATATGATATTTAGTCGTATATGCAGGGGAATAGACTACTTTTCCAAAGCATCTCTACTTATTAAAAATATTTGCTGCCCAATGTAATCTTATGCTTAACGCATTTCTCTGCAGACAACAATTGCAAATATATTTTTGTTATTGCTTTCGGCTTGCCATGGCCAACTCCCACCGGGCTCAATCAACGCAGCGCTGAGCCACATTCTTGCCCACATCCTGGTGGGCCTCAAGCTGACCATGACGAAAACAAATGGCCGTGCAAAATGCCAAACAAATCAGTCGCAATTACGCGTCGCACTGCCCATTGAGAAATAGAAGGAGAGAGAGAGTGAAAAATAAAAAATGAAATGAGGCCAGCGGGCCAAGGGTGAAAAAATAAATATTGTGTGGGCCATCGAAAAAATGTAAAACATTAAATAATTTCATTTTCTTTGACGCAATGAGCCACCAGCTCAATCAGAAAGTTAAGCAAACAAATTGCAGAATGAAAACAAGCAGCAAAAAGCTGAATTTATGTTGCTTTCGATTTTTTTGCTTTCTGTTTTTCCTTTGCATTTCCCTGTTGCGCTACGCCTTGCTCCGAGAGGAACAACAATAGCATTGAGGAAAATGTGGAATATAGAGAACAATGTACACCAAGGGCTTACGCCATTCTGAGGCAGCGAAAGCAATTTCCGTTCGTTAAACCTACATTTCGAAATTAAATTTCTTACACTTGAAAAGTTCGCAGCTTCAATATTGCGAGGCGTTTTTCATTTGCCACGGCGCGGCGGCAGCAGCGCAATTATGCTATGGGGCCAGCAAGGCGGCAGTTAAGCCACACACCCGCCCGCACAGCCGCCCACACACCCGCATACCCTTGACACCGCCAGCCACCCACAACAGCTGAAACAAGCTCTGGCAAAGTGAGTTGTAATACGACGGCGGCGCCTTTAAAAGTTTGCAAAGCAGGCCCCAAAAAAGAAAATCATTAAAAATTATGTACAAGCGGCAAAATATACATGAAAATATTATGTAAACAAAATTTGGAGCCTGGGCAGAATCTGGTCTGCTCGTACTACTACTTATATAGCCAGCCAGCCAGCCACTCATTACGACCTTCGATCCGTGGCAGAAGGAAAACTTCGATGCGCTGTTTGCGTACGCGGCCGCTGCTGCGGTTGCTGAGGCCTCGAATTTTCTCTTTCTACTAAAGTTTTTTTTTTTTTTTTTGTTTTGGTGGAAAAATTGCTGAGTATTAAATATCTATTGAGTCGAATATTGTGGCATAAATTGAGGCGCGCTGAATGCTCGGCAAAATGTTGCTTGTTTTTCATTATGTTTTTTGAGGGGGGCGCTGCACAATTTCCAAATTGCTGTCGCCTGCAAAATTCTTTTCTTTGGGGCTTAATTGAGGTATTATTTGTGTCATCGATTCGAGGAAAGCTTTTCAACGACCTGAACAGCTGAGTAGATCGAGAGCTTTTTAAAGTAACTTTCTTGCCATTTTCCAATCTGGTTTTCCATTTTCTACACGCACACGCACACATACGCACACTCTCCTATCTAACTCATATAATCTGCTTAATTTATATGAAACCTCCCCTCGGTTTTTTTTACTGCATGTAGAGAAAAGATAAGCCCAACAACAAACTGGGGCAACAGAATAAAAAAAAAAAGGAAAAAAGCGACACGATTATTAGAACAAAAGGGCAACATTGCTGGACCAAAGTCGAGACCGTCAATAAAATCTTTTTTTATAGATTTTATTTGCATGCTCCTGGCGAGGACACGAAGGGCGTTCAGGAATAATAGCCCCCAGATATGGGGTCGGCCATAAAATTGATATAATGTGAATGCAATTTGCTCGCGTTCTATGGTATATGCGTAGATATTTTGTTTTAAATTCAAAAACCTGACATTGAGCCCGACACCCGATGAGCTAATTCGACGACTTCCTGGAGATTAACTTGCGACGTTTTGGTGTGCAGCAAAAGTTTCTTCAAGGGGCTGTTCGCACAGAATACTTGCACGAGTCCTGAGTCCGGTGTCCTTCGTTCTGACAGTAGTTACCATGCGTCTGGCATACAACAATGCCATTAAATAGAATATTTAATTTTATTGTTTTCGCTGCCGTGTCCTTGCCCAAAATACGTCATACAAAGGGTCGGCCTCAGAGAGCGACGCGCATATTTTAGGGCTTAGCTACAAAAATTTAAATTCCGTAAGCATCCCGAGGACATATTTGCATATTGTTCATTTTATTTTTTCCAAAAATTTAAGCTCAACGACAATTTTCTCTGTCTCTTTTTTTTTTGTCTTTTATGCAAAGGCGTTCAAAACCATGCGAAAACCGAAAAGTTATAAACATTTCTAATATGAAACCCTTTTCCTCTGTTTTGCATTTTTTTCATTGCAGGTTACAGAGGACGACTAAGCCGAGTCTGATTAAACCGATAAAGGTATGTCCAAAGCAATGTGAAATGCATAATTTCTTAATGATCAATCAATAGATACCCTGTGAGTTGGGAAAACATCTGGCTTATCCAATTACTTTAATAATTTATTATGTGAAAAAACTTTTTTAATTAGCAATATATATATTCTTTTAATTTAACCTCTTTCTTAGTTCTTGAATATAAAGTTGTATCTAAAAGTTAATTGAATTAATTGAAAATTAATCGAATCGATTATATATATCTTTTTACTACAAAAATTATTTTTTTTTTCAATATCTTTGGATTTCCTATAATTTACCTGCTTATTATTTAAATTAAACCTATTTTTCTTTGTTTTAATTTTACTTTTTTTGAAAAACTTATTGTTTAATTTTAAGCGCTTTGCAATAGTATGAACAAATCAACAAATTGTACCTGGGGTATCAATTAATTTTTATTAATTTTTTTTTAACAAATTATTGATATTCATCAAAAACTATCAAGTTTAATATATTTTGATTTCTTGTAATTAATGTGCCTTCCAAAATGTGTTGGCCATCAAATCGATGGAAATCTTTAAGTATGCCCGTTCATTCATTCAAAAAAAAAAAGCTAGAGAACGTTCTTTATGCAAATAGCATTAAATATGCAAATCAGAAGCTGCGTCGTAGCTTTGAAGTAACTTTTAATTTTTTCGCATTCATTTCGTGTTGGCTGGTTTTCAGGCAGGCTTTCATTTGGGCCTGTCATAAATGGCTGTCTGTTTGCCTGTTTTACCTGGCCCGTCACGGCTTTGGGTATTTGGACATTCAATTCATTTATTTATTTATGAAAATGTGTATGCATATGTGCAGGGGGCGAATAACCATTCGTCAAAGTTGTCTGCCATATTTCATTGAGATTTAAAAATAATATTTATGCACTTGCGGGACGGCAAACGGCGGTACAAAAAGAATTTCGATTTTGGTTTATTAACTCAACGGCATGGAAATTATGGTAAAAAGCGTTGACCATGTAAAAGGTGCACTGACAAATGGCCAGCGCAATAAAAACCAATTTGATTTATGAACAGCTTAAACATGGCTGCCATGTTAACGCCGCAATTGTGGCCATATAAAAATGAAGTACACTTTTTGTCAACGCACCTGACAACTGCCTGGCAGCAACTGGCCAAAGCTGGGCCCTGCGTGCGTGCCCAGCAGGTGCTCAAATGTGGCCACATTTTGCGGGGGACACGCTGCCGCCACGACAGTGGCAATAAAAAGCAACTTAAAATGATTTGCGGCCAAGTTCTTTCACTTTGATTCACTTTAACCAGCCTAGCAACATGTCCTGGCATCTAAAATTGGGTAGCAATTGAGGTTGAACTACTTGAACTTGTTGGGCTGTGCTCCTTACTACTCTGACAAGGTGCCGCTTGTTCAGTGACTTTCTGAAATAAGCATTATTTGTAGCGAAAGTTTGATACTGTAATAAAAGGAAAGTTTTCATTTCTCCCATCCACCTTTTAAAGTGTAATTGATTCGTTGTTTGTAAATCGAAACATGCGATCTTAAGCTTTGTGCAGCTAAAGATTATTTACATAGATTGTTAATAATTAATATATATATTTTTGCTTTTATACCCTCATAGAGGGTATTTCTTATGAAGTGTGCAGAAGGAGACGTATCTGACTCCATAAAGTAAATATATTCTAGATCAGCATCAACATCCGAGTTGATATAGTCATATATGTCTGTTCATCTTTCTGTTTCTTTCGTCTTGAAACTTTGCATTGGTCCATATTTCTGTTTCATGCAGTACATTTGTCGGAATCAGCGGAATCGAATTACTATATCATAGCGATGCCATAGGAACGATCGGTCGAAAAATAGTTTCTTGTATGAAAATCTTTCTTGTTTATCAAAATATCTTGATCAAAATTGGAATTCATAAGTTTTACTATGCAAGGGTATTAAATCTTTCGCGTGCTGAAGATATCCTTACATTCTTGTTTTCTTTTGTTTTCATTATTATGTATATTATAGAAAAACACTCTCTAAATGAATTAAATAAAATCATTATTAATAATATATGTATAGTATTTCCTACATTTTTAGTTTCCCGGAGCAATCAGTAGATTTTTCGAGATTTTGTTCTGAAAGCAACCTTGGTGAATACATAAACCCAATTTCTGTGCTTTTTTCCCTGTACAATTTTGATATCCAATGTTCCGACAATATCTAACGAAAATCCGATATTGTGGAGATATAAAAGCTGTCTTGCAGCTGTTTAATTTTTTTTTTATCTTCAAAATGTTTTGAACAGTTTTCAAATGTCAAGTAATTTCTTTGAAATATCACTCGCAATTATAAGTGATTAAGGGCGTATCAAAATTTGTAACTTTGTGAAAACACAGAAGCTTGGAAAGAAGCTTAACTGACAGTTATTTGTAGCGGGGGCGATTCGTGGAAAGAGATTGTCGTCTGAGTATTTTCCGTGAAAATGTAATTCATTATAAAATATTTTCAAATGCATGAAAAATGCCAGCAACAATATATCCAGGAATGACAATTTTCAAATTAAATAAAGGCATATCAAATGAAATTCAAGCTCATTAAGCTAATTATTTTAAGCGGTTAAATTAAATAACAGCACAACAAATTTCATTGCAAAACGGCGCGTTTAAAAAATTTCATAAAAAAAACTCTTTCACTCTTCCACTCAGACTAGATAAAAATAGAATTAAGTACTTGTGAGTAATTTGGCAAAGTCTTTTTGTTGCGAGCCAAGAGCCCACATTAAGCTCGTTTCTAAGGTTAACAAGTATGCCGCATATAAGTAAATAGAAACATTGTAATTTATTTTTAATGAATAAAAACTCAAGGTCTTAACTTGGGTGCAAGCGGGCCAAAAAATTAATTATCGTTGGCAAACAGTGCGAGAGAAAAATCATTGCAAGCTTTCACACAGCATACATATATATGTGTGTGTATGTGTGTGTATGTATATACTTCTATGTAAGCCGCCTGCTTAGGCCGCCCGCGTATTTCATTACAGGCGGCGGCACTTGAGCGTTGTTAAGCTAAAAGTAAATTGCTTATTAAAAAGCAGCCTCAGCGTTTACACACGCAGATACACACAGTCACATAGATACATGGGCTAGGGGCGGGGTTGGGGGTAGCCTCATGAGGAGTGAGCCACTCATTTACACTTGAAGTGGCAGCAAAAGCGAGAATTAAGTGAGTGGGAGCTGCAGACAACACATGAGGCGGTGCGAAGGGGGGCCGGGCCGTCTGCCAGAGGTAATGACAAAGCTCCAAGCTGAAGCTGGAGCTGAAGCTGGGGCTGGAGCTGTTGCTGGCAGGATCTCTGCGCGCGCTAAGGTCCTTGAAGCAATCGACTTAATGCTCAGCCTGTTGTGTATTTAGTTTGCATTTTCATTACACGCACACACACACACACGCACACGCACACACTAACAGCTCGAAGGACAACCGCACACATGACTGCCTGCCCCTCTGGAGGGGCGCACATTTAATTTTCTACACATTGTGCCATGTCCTGATAGATTAACTGGGTATCGGTTTTGCCTGTGTGCGTGTGTGTGTGTGTGTATGCCAAAATAAGTTGTGTCCTTGCCACACACATACACACACGCAAACAGATACACACACATGCGCATATAGCCCCGTGACTCTATGTTACTTGATTGGATGACTGAGACACAGTTCGAAAGTCAAGGTAGCCAGAACTGGGATTGGGGGTGTGTCTTCTGGGTATGCTGCACGCTTCAATGAATTTTTGTCAACGTGATTCGCATTAGAATGTGTATTCAAATGAGTACATAATTTGTTTGTTTGTCTGTGTGCAGTTAGATATGCATAAATATCGGCAAGCGCCGAGGCGCTGAGCTGTTCCCATTTTATGAGTGCAATTATGTGGCATGTGGCATGTGGCATGGGGTGTGCCTATGTTTGTGTGTGTGCGTGTGTGTGCGTTTGGGCGTGTCCCTGTGTGAGTGTCTTTGATATAAATTTCAAACAAATTGCAAATAAATTGGAGTTGTCTTGGCGTCGCCATTGTCAACCCTCACAGTCTCTTTAGTGAGCCCCACAAGTTATTTAAAATATGTAAATTTCTTGTAGCTCATAGTCACCACCCAACCAGCATAGTCACCAACCAACCAGCCACTGCCACCCTCCTCACCACTTACATCCTTATCCGCAGCCACACACACTCCAAACACACGCACACACACACACACAACGCACAACAACCCCACAGCTTTTATTGCTTTTCGCTTTGTGTCGCCAGTTTAAAGACCAGTTTTCGTCGCTGGGGCTTCTGTGGGGCAAGTCGTTGAGGCGCTGAAGAGCACCAGTTCGGCATATCCCATGACATTTAATTTACTTAAGTTCACTAATCCTCCCGCCTCACCCCACATTGGCAAGCCAAAACCAATCACATGCTGCGCCTGATGAGCATTGTCTGCCTTTTTAATTAAATACTGTACACGTCCTTCTGCACGCCATTCATATGAGAGTCCTGCGGCGCAGGATGCTGAACTGGGTTTTGTGTTTTTTGCGCTTTTGGCCAGTTTTTGTGGCTGCCCCTCTGGCCAGGGCAAAGTCAAAGCGAATTGATTTAATGTTAAAAACGCAAATGCGTTACTTATTTTATTTACATTCACATTCTGATGGACAGCTGGCGGACATGCGCTTATTGCATTCAGCTGATGCCAAGCGGAAACAATAAATATAAATCGCTTCGAGTGCTTATGAATGCCCGACAGTGCATGCAAATAACAAACCATGAATGATACACTACGGCATTTTATTGTGTGAGTTAAATAAATAAATATAAATTTTTATGTGAGTTCTATTAGTTATTCATCATTCATTTTATTGAATAAATCTTATTGTAACATCTGGTTAGCAGCATTTACCAGAAAAACTACTTTTCAAATGCATGGGCAGGATCATAAGAAAGTGAAAAATAATATAATAATATAAAGTCAATTTCAATTTGTTATAAATATGCTT